TCTTTTTTGCCGATGATACGCAAGTGTTCTTTAGCCACACAAACATTAGCCTATTATTTAACACTGTTAATCAAGAACTTGAAAACCTGAACGAATGGTTTAAGGCTAACAAACTCTCCTTAAATGTCGAAAAAAGTAAATATATTCTTTTTACAAAATTATCAAAATCTTAAACCCTCCCCTTAAAACTACCTGATTTACTAATTGATAAAACTAAACTTAAACGAGAATACTCAATCATATTTTTAGGCGTAATTCTTAAGGAACATCTTAGCTGGAGTAACCATATCAAAGTAATAGAAAATAAGATATCAAAAAATATTGGTATTATGTATAAAACAAAACATCTCCTAAACACAAATTGTTTAAAAAATATTTATTTTGCATTTATTCATAGCTACATCAGCTACTGCAACATTATCTGGGCAAGTACTTATCCTTCAAAGTTAAATATGATCTACAAAATACAAAAACGATCAATTCGCTTGATATTAAATGCAAATAAATACGCTAGTGCCAAACCACTACTAAGAGAAATTGGAGTGCCTAATGTCTATGAAATAAATATTCTTAATATACTTATTTTCATGTTTAAGTTTAAAAATGGTATGCTACCAAGCATTTTCCAAACTTATTTTTTTTCTTTAAACCACAAATACGAAACTATATAATTTTATTATACCAAAAACATTATCAAAACAAGCTGATTTTTTGATATCTTGCCGAGGGCCGCGGTTATGGAACTTGCTTTTAACAAACAAAATAAAAACTTTAAATTCAACTCAACATTTTAAACGTGCAACAAAACAACACTTATTTGGTTTTGACACAAAGCAATTACTATCGTATTATTAAAAACTTTTGGTAATCTTAGTTATTTAATGTCTTATAAATTGACTCAACATCACAATTATATTGTATGGTACTTAGAACATGTATGATATTATTTTATTTTACAATACGTAATTTGTAAATGCAATATTTATTATATCTTACGCAATTTGTAGATGGAATGTAATACAGATTTATTTGATTTGTATGTATATATGAACGGACATATATTTGTGTGTACGTGTGCGTATGTGTGTGTGTATGTGTGTGTATGTGTGCGTATGTGTGTGTGCGTGCGTGTATAATAAAAATAAAAGTCGGATAAAATAGAGAATTAAAAAAAAAAATAATAATAATAATGAGAAGAAATAATTAATATATATATATATATATATTTTTTTTCTCTTTCTGTAAATAATAATTTGATTTTTAAGTTCTTTTCTTCTAAAAATCAGTTCTTGCTTTAGTTTCTTTTTTCCTTTTTCATTTTTATCGGCTGAATTTTTTAGTTATATTAACGGGGCTGGATGATAAGATCATGTCTTCTGCCAGCTCCGGTCGAAACTTTAATGTTATAATTTTTATGTTGTAAAAAAACATTGTAAAAGATTATTCATTTAATGACGAAATAAAAAAAGTGATAAAAGAGCGAGTATTATAAAAAGAAAGTAAGTTTAAAAAATCAGACGTTGCAGTGCCATTATTTGATTGTAGCAGATCAATATTATAATCACCTAGTAAGAAAACCGATTTATTTTCAGCATTTATTTTTTAAAGTAGGACAGACATGATAATTGTAAAATCGTTAATATCCATGCATGGGTGTTTATAAATGCAACCAACAATAATATTATATTTTTTAGAAATTTTATTTCAACAAATGTTGATTCTAAACAAAATGGTGTATAAATCATTAAATCATCCCTTTGTTTATATAATAATTTTTTTTATAAGTATAACAATGTTCCTCCACAAGAAGATTCAGTTGGTGTGTGTTCAATTTTTTAGTTATCAATGTGGATTGGATGAATTGATGGTATTCCTTTTTTTCGTGTTTCGGTTATACCAATAATGGAAAGTTCAAAATTCATTAACGATAGTAATACGTTTAATTCCTCAACGTTTTTGCAAAAATGATATGTTTAGATGAAATAAAGCGTTAATTTTGTCAAAGTTTAGTTAACGGAGTTTATTTATATCATAATATTTGCAATTGATGCATAGATTTCTTCATCTATCTAAAACATGAGATGAAACATAATCATTAATTTGGGTAGAAACTTTATTTAAATGAGAAGACGGAAAGATTTATTGACGGAGGTAAATCATCAGCTATAAGAATTTTGTCAGAAAGAAAAATAATAATTTGAATTCGTTATCTTGTACATTTGTGAATGGAAAGATACTCTTTGTACAACTTACACAATGCAGTGATGTAGTAAATTGTATTCAGCCTTAGTTAAATTAGTGAAAATGACTAGTGAAAATGATTAGTGAAAATTTTTGCAATATTTGAAAGGATCTGGAGATGGTGATTTATAAGTAAATAATGTAAATAATAGTATTAAAAAGAATAAAAAAAATTAAAATTAAAAAGAATTAAAAAATATAAACTAGCTAGTATGACCCGTACGATACGGATTGTGGCAAGTCTAATCCACACCCGACAATTTCTAAACTTATTCCTTAGTCTTTATACTTTAATTTATTTTAGTAAACGGCAAAAAATAAATCAATTTAAAGTTCTAATAGATGGTAAAATGCGAACTTTAATTGCGAACCATAAATTATAATTTATGGTTCGCAATTAAAATTCCCATTTTACCATCTACCAGATGGTAAAATGCGAACTTTTAAGAAAATTAAAAAGAACTTTAATTGCTTGTTAAATTATAATTAATTTAAAAGAAATGTCTAATTAAAATAAAATATATCGAATATATATTTAATTTAAAAAATCGACGAGCAAATGATTTTAATAATAAAGGTCATTAAAATGTCTTGGTTCGCTAAATGTACGCAGTTTGCATTTTACTGACTACCTAAAGTTCTTGATTTTTAATTTATTGTTCTTTAGAACTAATAAGTATTTTTCCTTATTACATTATTACTTATTTACTTTAATATTTTCTACATAATAAAAGTATCTTTAGCATATAAGATCTAGGCTATGATAATATTTTAAAGGTGAGTTTCCACTCATCCGTTTTTTCACGGGAACGGGATAGAAAAGGGAAAAAAAATCACGTGAGCATGCGTAGTTTTGCTTTGGACATGTTAAAACTTATACTACGCATGCCCACGTGATTATTTTTCCCGTTCCCGTGAAAAAACGGATAAGTTGAAACTCGTTTTAACTCTCTCATAAGGATTTATTTAAAAAGCAAATATGGACATTGAAAAATGGACCCAAAAGACCTAGTTATTTCAAATAAGTTAGCTTTATCTGTTTGATATATTTTATAAAATCCTTTCCGTAAAAAAACTCTTTAATTATTTATATAATTATAAAAAATTTATATAATTGTTAAAATATATTAACAATTAAACTGTTTTAGCTGCGGAATTAGCTGTGGTGACCCGTACGATACGGGTCGCGGCAACCCTATTCCACATCCGGCTATTTCCAAACTTGTTTTTAGTTAGGTCTCTATACATTAAGTAAACAGCAAAAAATTCGTCGATTTAAGGTTTTTGGTTAACAATTGACTAAATGTACTTTAGAAACTGTATTTATTTACTTAATGTACTCCAATATTTTATACATAAAAGGATCTTTAACTTAATAGAGACAGTTGCGTAACATTTCTTTAGGTGTTTTTTAAAACTTAAGCTATAATCAAGATTTTACCCTTTCATCAAGATTTATCTAAAAAACAAATTTGGACATCAGAAAATGGGCCTAAGAGGCTTGTTATTTTAAATAAGTTAGCTTTATCTGTTTGATACTTTTTATAAAAACGTTGCTGTAAAAAACAAAACTGTTAACAAATTCATTCAATTAAGCTGTTTTTACATCCGAAGTTATTATAAACATGTTGTTTGTGCTAAAAATCGATACTTAATGCAAATGAAAACTTCAAGCACAAAATGCGATTTAAGCCTAAATGGTTTCTATTCATATATATGAAAAGCAACGGAAATATAAAAAACAAAGCAAAAATGATCAATATATCCATTTGAAACAATAAATCCAAATATATATATATATATATATATATATATATATATATATATATATATATATATATATATATATATATATATATATATATATATATATATTCCTTAAGAAACAAAAAACATATTTAAAAGATAAAATAAAAATATAAACTTTATAGATAAAAGATAAAATAAAAATATAAACTTTAAAAAAAATTAGAGAAAAATATTATATTTAACAAAAAGTAGCAATAATACTTAAAAAGCAATTTAAATTGAAACATTGCATCATTATTATTAGGCTTTAGGTAAGCCATAATCAAGTCAGCCATAAGAAAAGGAACTCAATCTAAAAATGGAACAAAATTATTTTAAACACAAAATACACACTAATTATAAATTAACGTGTCACATTCAATTAATTTTTTTGAAAACTCAAGAATGCGAATAAGTGGATAAGAAACTTACTTTTTATTTTTCCATGACCCTGACAGATCAACATGAATGTGAGCTAAGCCTATTAGCATTTTAACTACTAACTGCACACACTTATAAAAACATAGATAAACATTTAGAAAACATAAACTTTTTACTTTATAAAACACATATATATTAACATTAACATATAGGAAATAACACATTATAAGCAATTACCACATCATGAGACATATTAATACTTATCAAAAACCATTACAAACATCACATTTTAAAAATGAAATATTACTTGTGTAATATACATTCAATGACATACCTTTTAGTGCATGTTAATCAAAGTTGTAGAATAAATTATAAAATGTCTTGGTTCTGGAACATGCTACATAGACTTTGGTTGTCAAATTTTATCAAATGTTTGACCGTAACTTTTATTTCTTATCCATGAGTAATAATAATAATAATAATAGTAATAATATAGACTTATCAATGGTACAAAACTTTGTAAAAATTGATAAAAATTTGTAGTACTTGTTACCATAATGATTATTAAGAACAAACCTAGTTAAAAAGCGTTAGCAAAAAGTTATATTTTTCTTAATTTATGATAGTTTACAAAATGCAACTTAAACAAATTTTTTTAATTGTTGAACCAACATTTGTTCATTAAATCCTTTCCCCCTTTAACACTCGCCATAAATTCAGATAGAAAAGCTCCCTTGATGGTGTTGACAACTTGATACTTGTCCTTTACACTTAAGCTACAGAACGAATACGTTCCAAAACCAGTTGGATCAACGTAACACGGTAAATGCGAATGAAAAGCATATTGCTTAATAAAAGCGCAATTGAGTTTTCCTAAAAGTTAAAATTATTTTAAACAACATATATATATATATATATATATATATATATATATATATATATATATATATATATATATATATGTATATATATATATATATATATATATATATATGTATATATATATATATATATATACACAGAGACGAATCTACGAATAAAATGAGGGGGGGGGGGGGAGGGAGTAAGATGAATTGTTAAAAAGTACCGACTGGTAAAAAATAAACTAATATTCACCCGAATGAATTGTGTCAAATACCCGTTTTATTGAATTTCCGTGAATTTCGCTTGCAATTGCATTGTGTACGTCAATAACTCGTGTTGAGTTTCGCTTTTCTGGCGCATGCATAACACGCTTTTTTGATAAATCTGAGTGTTTGAGTATTCTTGTAATTGTAAGATGAGACATATTGAAGCCTGCTGCAGAAAGATTCTATTTTACTGCTTCTTGCGTACAAAGATTGTTTTCTTGTACGCATAATTTAATAATACATTAAAAAAAAAAAAAAAAAAAAAAAAATCGAACATATTTATTTACTTCATAGTTAACGACTATCCAGCTAAATTTGTCAAAAAACCAAGTTGTTTAAGTTAAAGTTGGATAAGTGTTTTTTTATTACTGCTCTGGGAGCGTATTCTGCAAACTATTTTTTTGCATAAAGGTGAATTTCCCCACTCATCCGTTTTTTCACGGGAACGGGAAAGAGAAAGGAAAAGTAATCACGTGCGCATGCGTATTATAAGTTTTAATTTGTTCGAAGTAAAACTACGCATGCTCACGTGATTATTTTTCCATTTCCTATCCCGTTACCGTAGAAAAAAGGATGAGTGGAAACTCACCTTAAGTTTGACGTAAGTTCAAAATGATGAAATTCATATTCACGAAACTTGCGCAGTTGCGTTTCACAAAACTTACGTAAATTTTTTTGTAAGTTTAGCGCTAAAAAATCTGTATTCACCCAGCTGAAATAGTATTCACCAAACTTTTTAAAAACTTGCTCAGCTCAATTCAAGCTAGAAAGGTTACGTTAGCTACCATGAGCTGCCTTAACTTCGGCGTAACGTTAAAATCACTAAATATTAGAAATGATGTAATATTATTATGATTCTTATATAGCTATATTGTCAGATTGATATAGAATCTTATTATAAATTATAAAATATACAATTTATATACATAAATTGTATATATTAATAAAGTTAACAATAATCATAGATATTAACACAAATATAAATGTATCTTAATAATTTAACAACTTACTAACTTGATAACATCTTAATATTTAAGATATTATTTTACTATAAATTACAGTAATAAAACATCGTATATCATAATAATTATAATTTTGTATAATATCAATTTATTATCTTATATTATAATAATAGCATAAAATAGGATCTTAATATATTTAAATTATATGCATTATAATATGATTTTATTAATAAATATTGACATAGCATTGTAATGACAACTATTAAGATGTTATAATAATAATTAAATTTAATTTAATGTATTTAATTTATATGTATTAAGATATTATTAATATAACATAACATCTTATAATATAAAATAATAGTAACATAAAATAATTTGTTATAGTAAATTATATATTACTTCTAGTATAAATTATTATGTATTTTAAAAGATATTGTTATAATGCAATTATGATTTTGGTAATATTTATTGAATTATTGTATTAACAAAAAAGCGACTACATCTTTATAAATATTAACAAAACATTGTATATATTAAAAAAGAATAGTTAAAATGGAATTTTAGTTAATTTGGTTGAGATCAAATCTGGCTTCAGGCTCGATATGTTTCTTTAAATGATTACTCTGATGTAGAATGTGTTTAAAAATTTAGTTTGTTTAGAGATATTGTGTACATTAACAATCATTTTTCACCATTCACGTTGAGAAGCAACCCAATAACCTCATTGATATAGCAAAAATGCTAATATCAATGAGGCTTTTATCAAAGTAACTGGGAAGTAAGTGGGAGTTTTCAAAGAGTAATAAAAAGCTACAAAACAGCAATAGTTTTTGATCAATTATTGTTTAATATACTTGTTATTAATGGACGGTTACAAATGAAATTTGAAAGAATTGATTTAGAGACTACTTAAAATTTTTTTTCTTTTTCAGAAATGTTGTCAAAAAGTATTCTGAATCTCTTTAATAATACTGAACTTAATAGTAGTGCGCTTTCGAGCCTGTTTGACACGATACTCTTGGCAACCATTGCGTCCGAGGTAGTGACGAGAAAGTCATGTCTCACCTTTGCTTTATAAGAAAACGTGAGCAAACGTGAAACTTATATCGTACGTACCTAGACTTCATGTTATGTAATGTTAAAACATGCTTAAACATATATCAAGTTCTACACTTTGATTTTCACTTAAGAACTGCATTTCGTCAACCTCAGCTTGATTTCTAATTTTTTTGCATGTATATCCGTTAAAAACAATTTTTATATAATTTTGAATCATCAGAACTTAATGTGTCAGCGTAGTTGAGTGGTTAGCGCGCTGGGCATCGGAACTTAGCTGCCGTGGCTCGAGTCCTACCGTTGGCGGCCACTGTTTTAATTTTTTTTAGATTTTTTTAAATACAAATTCAAATACTTATAAAGTTTTATAGATATTGTATATAGATTCTTTTTATGTAATGTTAAAACATTACATAAATCTAGGACATTAAAATTTATCATTTAGATGTTTTCATTTGATTGAGATTTTCTTGCGTTATAAACCGGATAATAGTTCTTATGAACTGTAAGCACGCGGATAAAGTGTGCATCAATATCCTAAAGACCCGTATTTTACGGGTTATGACAGCTAGTAAAGATTTTAATTCTGAATTAAAAAATACATTGGAATATAATCCTAATGCAGGTTTCCTTTTTGCTTGTTAACCGCCATGATTTAATCAGCCAGCTAAACCAAAGAAAATATATTTCAATAAAATTTACATTCAGGTAGATTGTAATGTGGAGCAATTCTTTGGTCATCTCAAAAACAATTGGAGGTAACAAAAGAAGTGGAGCACTTTAGTGCTCAAAGTTTATCCTAACATATGCTCACCCGAATGATATACTGCAAAATTTATTTTATGCGCAATTTAATTGAAAACCTTTATAATTGCTTAGGATTAGAAATTCCAGATGACATAAACTTTGAGGACATTGATGAAGATGATGTACACGATGTTCAGGCTGAATTTAACATTAGTCAACCAATTTTTTCTCGTCATTTTACAAATAACACTAATTAAAAGTTTGTTTTTAAATCGAATGCAATAATATATTGTTGAATGTTACAAGGATTTTTTTGATGTTTTATAAATGACTTGTTTAGGCATTATGCAAAATCCATATTCATGATTATGTCAAATTAGTAAAAAATGAAAGTTTTATAGTTTTTACTAATTGTATTTTTATAATAATAGGATAATTCAAATCGGGTGAATAGAAAGCTAAACACTCTCACTTCTCGCGCTAATGGGCTAGCATATCAGAGCCAGACGTAAGACGTACAGAATGGATTTCAATTGATCGAATGCACACATTAGTCACCATAGGCAACAAGCCATCATTCTTAGCCAAATGAGCTACTGCCCCGTGCTGGTGTGGAATGGTGTGCTATGAAGTGAGATTTCAAATCCGAGTACATAGTCAGCAATTATATAATTCCCTTTGTAACCTCTTTGTAGATTAATCAACTCTGAACCCCTCTCTCTTTCTTTTCTATTTAAAATTATTTACCTAGTTTTCATAATAACATTTTTTACAAAATTAATATTCAAATAAAATTATTTATTTTTTATAGCAGAGTTCTATAAAAGTACTATTGTCATTTTATTAAGCTGTAAAAAATATAGATTAATAATAATCTCTAATTTAAATTTGTTAGAAATTATATGAATTCAATATTAGAAAAGTTTGTTTTATAAAATTACAAAAACTCGGTTCAATAAAAAAAATCAATTTTTTTTGTTGTCTTTTTTTTTGCGTAAGTTTTTGCGTAATTTCAGCGCAACTCGTGCACAACCCTAATTTTACGGAAATGCTGCAAAACATTGTTGAATACCAAATAGTTACAAAAACAACGCTGAACATACAGTTTATATAACCTTAGTTAAGCTATACAAGAGTTACGAAAACTTTGGTGAATACGTATCCTGTTCTTTAAGAACATTAAGCACCCGTTTTTGAAACAATTTTGCTCGCAATTTAATGCAGTTTTTTCAAACCTTACAAAAAAGTAACTATTTTAGAAAACTATAAAAGTTTCGAAGGAACAATAGCTTTAGTTATATACTTATATGAAAATAGATGATTCATTAAGCGCCTATGCAAATAAAAATCTAAATCTGAAATTTACTCTTGAAACACTTTGCTTTCCATCTGCTTTGAAACACAATTTTTTTTCAACGTCTCTGACAGGGCTGTGGAGTCGGAGTCAGAGTTGGAGTTGCGGAGTTGCGACAATTTTAGAGTCGGAGTCGGAGTCGCTTAAAATATCGCGACTCCGACTCCGATAGTTAAATTTCTTGGTATTGCACGTTGTGCAATACTAAATCTCAAAGAATGTTTCTTAAATTTTCAAGAAAAAAATTTCAACTTGTCGCGCAATATTTTTTAAAGAATTCAAAGAATTTTTCAAAAATTTTGCTTTGAAGTTGGAGTAGAAGTCGGAGTTAAAGTTAAAGTCGGAGTCGGAGTCGGAGTTGTACATAAAAAATTTCAACAACTGGAGTCGGAGTCGGAGTCATTACTTTTTTTTTACGACTCCACACCCCTGGTCTCTGATTCTACTAAGTCTGCAAGCATCCACCATTAGAGTTGGAAGCTACTGGAAGAAAAAAGAATAAGTTTATAGAGCAAGATAATGACTGACAGACAAATTAAAAGGCTGCAAATTTTATAAACTAGAAAAGCAAGATGCAGGAAGCGAATTCCAAAGAACTGGTGTTCGAGGAAAAAAAATAAAAGAAGTTTTTGAAGCATTAGAAACAGTCACAGAAAAAGGATGAGACTTAATTGAATGACGAGTAACACAAGAATGAATTTTAGTAGATGGCACAAGAGATGCTAGCTCTTTAGCAGTGTCCGTTATAATATTTGTAGAAAAAAAAAAGAGAAGCAACATTACGACGATGGAGGTTGGCTGCAAAAGCAGGTCCAAATATGTTTGCAATGTGTTTATATACCTTGTCTAAACAAGAAAAAACATTACTGGAAGACACATCCCATATATGGCAACAGTATTTTATTCAAGGACAGGTTGGAGATTTTTAAAGATCAAGAATAGAATCCGGAGTAAGAAAGTGTTGAGCAGGGTAAAAAGATGCAAACTTAGCAGCTGCTAATTTTGCAATGGATTTGATATATGATTTTCAAAAAATATCGGAAGAGTTAATCGTAAAAGATGAAGGATAGATGATTTGACGAGTACATCACCATTCATAAATATAGGAAGATCTAAATTAATGCGGTAACGATTGGCTGAAAAAAAGTTTTATATGAAGTTTTATATGCTGTAGCAGAAGTGAGATCTTTTTTAAGCTTAAATGCCACCTCTAAGAAATCTGAGAATATTGGCTTCTTATCAAGACAAGAATAAATGGTAGTATCATCAGCGAACAATGCCGCCTTAGATGTGAGAACATCTGGAAGATCGTTAATGTAAATTAAAAAGATTATAAAGCTAAGGATTGAACTTTGAGGAACTTCTGAAGTTACTAGATAAGAAGAGGAGTGCTGTCCGTTGAAGACAACCTTTATACTACGATCTGAAAGGAAGAATTTAATAATCTTAAAGATGTTACCTGATACACCGTAAAAAGAAAGCTTATGGAGAAGACCAGCATGCTAAATTTTATCAAAAGCTTTAGAAATGTCAAGAGCGATAGCCTTAACCACTCAACTTCTTTTTAATGCATGATAAAACCAATCATTTATTACCGTGAACAAAGCAGCAGTAGAACAAGAAGATTTAAATCCATATATGATAATCAGAAAGTAAGTTATTAGATTCAAGATTAGAGATTAGGCATTTCTTAATTAAAGGTTCAAAAACCTAGCTTATGATAAGAAGAAGACTAATCGGACGGTAGTTAACGAGTCAGATCGCTCTCCAGAATTTTTGAAAATAAGGATTACAGATGCCGCTTTCCAGCAGGTTGGAAAACAAGACTCTGATAAGCACTTGCTAAATTGTTTTGAGAGTATAAACGACAGCTCCGGAAAACACTTCTGCAAGACTACATCAGGTATGCTGTCCGGACCACAAACTGTAGGAGAGTGGGGCTTGAATTAAAATTGTTGAGAGGGAATAAAACATTTCATGCCAGCTTAATTAAAGAAGTTATGCAAGAAACACATTTATCAGCAAGAAGACGAAAGATTTCTACCTAAGGGCCGTCACAAAGAAAATCACGGAAAGAGTCCAGTCAGCTTTTAGGTAGTTCGAGAGGTACAATGATAGTGAGATTTTGATGATGAGGAAGAGTGAGATAATAGTTTTAAAGAGATCAAACTGTGATTAGTTGCACCTAAGGATAAATGTGGAGAATCTGAGCACTGACTTGGATCAGAAACAAGACATATGTAGAGTAGAAAAGCTTTACTTGCTTTAGCAATTAAAAAATAAATTTCTAACTTCACTACAACTTCTGCACCTCAATTTCAAAACAATTTACAGATCTCTATATTTTAACTCGATAATATCAAATAATAAATACATAACTAGAAATATTTAACTGAATGTTGTGTGTTTATCAAAGTACCCTCGTTTTATGGATAATAGTTACATCACAAAGTTATTAAATCTTTCATTGTTAAAAAATTATGCAAACAAACTGTACTCTCGAGTACTAAATACAAGGAGGTGGAAATAAAAGGAGGTGGAAAATTCAGTCCAGATCTGAGATTTGAGTTTTTTTGTTGGAAACAACTTAAAATAAATGAACGGGCAGGGGAGGGAGGGAGATTTTAATAAGGCTATGGTAGGTGGGAAAATTTTCCGAAAACTATTAAGCATCCTCTTCCATGTATTAAGCACGCGATAGTAAACAAAACAAAATAATAATAAAATATAAAAAATATACCTTTAACTTTGCTTTGTAATAAAAAAGCAAGTTTGACTTGAAGACACTTTTTTACTGCAGCAACCCACATCCGTCCTTTTAAAGAAAATTTATGAAGATTTGCTTCGTATTTATTACAGTAACTTAAAGCATAGTTTAATGCATATCCTCGAGAGCCACAAGGAATTGTTTTTTCCAAACAATTTTTGTACCAAGAGCAATCTTTACCAGTTGGTTTGTTGCAGTTAGAACCCAAAACTTGAGAAATTATTAAGAATACCAGCGTAATTCTTAACCTAAATGTTTGTAAAAAAATAAAATATTTTTCTCTCTCTTGGGTATGTATATATATATATATATATATATATATATATATATATATATATATATATATATATATATATATATATATATATATATATATATATATATATATATATATTGCTTTACATGAGCTAAAAATAATTAAAAAAAAAAAATCAAAATATTAACCCTATCCAAAATTTCGACATTCTCCTTTTTTTTTGTATTTTTGATCAAGCTTTTTATAAAATTTTTTTTCTTTATTTTTATCTCTTTTTAGCTTAACTCTTTATTTAAAAAAAAAATGATAAAAAGACATTTTTAACATTATTTGTTTAGAGAGATTAATATTGTTTTTGTAATGGCGCCAATTGATATTAAAACATGAACTAAATCTAAATGTAAACTTTATTTTAAAATGTTTAAACATTTATATAAACAAGATTTATCATTTCGAGTACTGATTTCATTCCCAAAGGACTACAGGTTGTAATAAAATAAATATAGTTTTAATTTTAGGGGAATTGTGTTATTGGGGTAAAGTAGGACAAGCGAGTAATCAACATAACATTAACAAATATTATTAACAAAAATCTATTAAAAGTGCAAACCGTAATCTTTATCAAAATGTTCATTTAGTTTCCATAATTACACAAGATATGGGAGAAATATAATATTTTTTTTTGTTCGACGGCTCCACTCAAAAATCGTTTTTTGAGGCTAGTTTTCAAAAATATAGTTTTAACCAAACGCAGGAAGACAAAGCGTAGTTTGTTAAATAGAGGCAAAGAAACCTGATTTTTACATTAGATTGCATTGATAAGATAATCCCAATTAGAACTTTTAGAATGTCCCACTTCTACTGCGTATCACTTCTTCCCACTCTCCCCTACCGTTAGTCGCAGTAAAATTGTGGCGCTTAAACAATTTTTTTTAAATAATAATAAAAATGGTGCAAAATAAAATTGATATACAAGCTTTATGCTTTAAAATTTTCGGAAAATAAAATCATAAATTAATAACATCGTTATTGAATTCATTAACCAAAGTCGGCGCAACAGGATGTGTGGGGGAGGGGGTATCACCCCCTCCCCTATCAATGATTTTTAGTCGGCAAATTTGACACTTAGTCAGCAAATTTGACCCTTTTTGATTAATTAGTCGGCAAACGTCAACTTTTTCTATATAAGTTAGTTGATAATTTAGACAGTTAGTCGGCAAAAGTCGTCATGGTAGTCGGCAAATTTTTAAAAACGAGGACTTTTTTTTTTTTTTTAGTCGGCAAAAGTTGGCCTTGTCATTAACATACGCTGTTACAACGTGTATTGATGAAATTCAAATTTTAATGAGAAACAGTAGTAACAAGATACATGAAAATAAAACAGATCTTGTAGTTAGAACCTTGCAAAAGTAAAACAAGCAATAATAACAAAAAGAAGATACAAATAAATACAGAACTAAATAAGCTGTCAGGCATTTAAAACAAACTATAATTAGAATAATAGCATATTACGCATATACTTATAATAGCATAATTTTTCACTGAAAGTTTTTATTCTTATCAGTAACTGATATATATATATATATATGTATATATATATATATATATATATATATATATATATATATATATACATATATAAGTATATATATATATATATATATATATATATATAAGTTTTTATTCTTATCAGTAACTGATATATATATATATATATATATATATATATATATATTATATATATATATATATATATATATATATATATACATATATATATATATATATATATATATATATAGCAAGCAATTTATTTAAAACAATATGAAGGAAAAAGAAGCCAAGCAAAACAACAATATTCAAAAAATGAATCAATTTTTTATATTAAAATACTACTAAGAAAATATTAAATAGTACTAGAGGCCTTTCAGTATTGATCATCAGTTGTACTACTGCAAATGTAATTATCATGATTTTGATTTATGTAAAAAGTTATGTAATAGAAGTATTTAATAGCAGTTTTTGTAACTAGGAGTTACCATTGCTATGTTATTATAAAAGGAAGTATTTGTTGAAGGTGTCATGTTTTTGTTTATGCAGATAATTTTCATAGGTCAATAAATTATTTTCATTTTTTAATTTGAGAAAAACATAAAGCTGAAAAAATGGCGCCGTAGTTGTTTTGTGTACTTTCTTGCAATCATATACATGATTGTCGAATCTATTTGTTGAATTGCCAGTTTTGCAACTGGAAATATGTCCATTTGTGCGGTTTCTTAAATTGTTTGTTTTTCCAGTATAAGTAGATAGATTACATGATAAGATAGATAGTTTACATGATAAGCATTTTAGATAATAAATGACAGTTTTACTATTACATGTAATGTGACTTTTAATGTTCCAAATTGTGCCATTGGATGTCTCAAATTTATCTACTTCTTGTAAATATAATCGGCAGATTTTACATCGACTGTTTTTTTTTTTTTTTTTTTTTTTTTTAGGTTGTTTTAGGTGCTCCCAGAAGTCCTAACGGTCTTATCACGGAGCACTGCGGGAGAGCATTTAACTAGAAGTTCACGCCTCCCTCCGTACCAATGTCGCTTGTTGGGCTAGAGCCGGCTTCGAACCTCGGACCTCTGGGTTCTGAGCCAGAACTCTAACCACTGCGCCACGGCTGCTTTTTTGCATTTGAATAATCCCATTTTTTTGACAGAAGACGTAGAGTGAAATTTTGAGCGCGTAATTTGTCTAAGTAAGTTTGGTGGTTGTTTGTATGCTATTACTGGTTGAATATTTGAAAAAACTTTTTTTAATCTTTCATTATCAGGTAAACTAAGTAAAAGGTTAGCTTCAGTTAAAATTGGTTGACAGTTTAAATTACTATAGACGGTAGTCACCAAAGGAAAGATTTAGATTGTTTCATTGGCGCTGGCCCTTGTAACTTTGCATTATGAAATGCTTTTTCTATTACATTATCAGGGTAATGACACTCTTTTAACCATATTTTAAGTTCCGTTAGACGTACTTTTTCAGTAGCATAATCAGACGTAAAAATGATTATTCTTTTAGCTAGGTTATAAGGTATGTTCTTTTTTATGTGATACTGTTAAAGTTTAAATAGTCATGAGTGTTTGTTTCTTTGTAAAAAATATCCGTTTCAATGTATTTGTTGTTTTCAAGGATAACCGAAATATCTAAAAAATTAACTGTGTTATATACTTTTTTGTTTGCTTCGAATTCGATGCTAAAATCTATTTTAAAATTTGAATCAAATATTGAATCGTGTAGTTCTGTAAGGGACATTTGGAACTTAGCAATATCTATATACTTTGGTAATATGTTAAAACCATCATAGACATATCTAAAATAAAACTGTTTAATAATTTTAACTTCTTTTTTTGAAAAATATTTTGGTAAAATTTTCGGAAAAAGCATTGTTTCTTCTAAAAAACCAATTGTATGGCAAGCATTGTCTGGTGCAAAATCTGTGCCCATGGCTGTTCCTGTAATCTGGCGAAACAATTGATCGTCAAAGTAGAAATTATTATTTTTAAGAATGAAAGAAGCTGAATCTATGATAAAATCAGTGGTAAATCTTTCGGCTATTAGATTTTAACCCATTTATATTTATTTCGGCTATTAGATTTTTATTAGTTTTTCAACCCAAAATTTTAATGCTTGTAAACCAAGATCATGTGGAACGTTTGTGTAAAGATTTACAATGTCACAAGTTAATATAACACTATCTGAATCCATTATTCTAGAAATTTTTCTTAAAAAGTCCCAGTCATCTTTCACAAAAGTCTTTTGTCACTTTACAATAGGAGATAGGATTATGTGAAGAAGTTGGCTTAGATGCGATGTTGGTGAATTTATACCAGCAATAGTGGGCCGACCTTTTAAATCTTTTGGTGGTTTCATTTCGATAAATTTCGATATATGCGGTAGTGGTGTAGTGGTAGAGCGCTCGCTTCATAAACGAATGGTTCCGAGTTCGATCCCCACCACGTCCCTGGTAGTACCGCGCTCAACTCGCTTCTCCGCGCAGCGGCCTTGTTAGTCAAGCCAAATAAGTAGCCTCCTCGTCTTTAGTGGCCTTCTCGGCCTTGAGGAGGTGAATGAAAATGAGAAAAAAAAAAAAAAAAAATAGAGAGCTAGATCTTGAACCTTTTTAATAATTTCATTGCATTTATGAATTTTAGGAATTACATAAAAAGTACTAGATTTCCATTCGAAATTTGAGATATAATCAATTTTGTTTTGTGTTAAACATTTATGTTTCGCAATCATTTTTGAAAGATTTTTGAAAACTTTTTTGTCAGAGTCAGTATTAGTTTTTTCATATGTTATTAAAGAAAATAGGTGATCTTGATTAACTAGTTTGTCTTTATAATAGGTTGAATCCATTATAACTAAGGTGTTATCTTTATCTGCTTTTTTAATAACAATATCTTTCATTTCTTTGAGTTCTTTTAAAGCAATCCTTGCTTGTATTGAAATGTTGTTACCTGATTGAATTTTTGTTGGATTTACTTGCTCAATTGTTGAAATTATTTCATCAAGTTTAGGTAGAGTTGTTTTAATATTATATTTCGATTTATTTTTTATTATACTAATATCGTTATTGTGTAATTCAAAGAATTTTTCTTATATTATTGTTTAATTCAAAGAATTTTTATTATATAACTTTTTACGTAAATCAAAATCATGATAATTACATTTGCAATAGTACTACTAATGATCAATACTGAAAGGCCTCTAGTACTATTTAATATTTTCTTAGTAGTATTTTAATATAAAAAATTGATTCATTTTTTGAATATTGTTGTTTTGCTTTGCTTCTTTTTCCTTCATATATATATATATATTTTTATATACAATATATGTATATATATATATATATATATATATATAAATATATATATATATATATATATATATATATATATATATATATATATATATATATATATATATATATATATATATATATATATATATATATATATATATATATATATATATATAACAAACCTAATCGAAACCTTTGATATTATCTCCAACGCGCTTGAACTTCATCTAGAAATCGTCATGAGTTTTCTGGACTTTGCTAAAGCCTTCGATAAGGTTAGTCACTCGCTTCTAATTTTCAAATTACGCGCTTTATATGGCTTTGACACAAATTGCTGTAGCTAGATAGCGGCCTTCTTAATTGGCCGCACTCAAAGGGTTGTAAAAGGTACTTCTCTAATTGGATGGACGTCCTCAGTGGAGTTCTTCAAGGTTCTGTACTAGGTCCTCTCCTTTTCGTGATCACGTTTGTA